CCACCAGCCACGCTGGCGTTCTTCAGACTCATCAAGTCCATGTCTGCCTTGGGACTGGGGCCCTAGCTACTCCCTCTGCCTTGATCTTTAGATCCTAAACGTCACCCCCTAGGAGAGGCATTCCATGATGACCCAGTCTGGACCAGCCACGCAGTCACTCTCTATCTATTGCATCATTCTATTTGAATTCTCTACATAGCACTCATCACAGTCTGATAATATCCTGTTTTCCTATTCGTCTGACTCCTTCCCCTGAAATATTTGCACCTCTTCTGTCCTGTTCACCGTTTATAAATACCTGCTGAGTGAATAAATGAATGAATGAACAATGTTGTAAACTAAGAACACTCTACTAACAGGAGAGGGGCATTGTATCTAGACATGAAGAAATCAAGCCTTAGAAAGGGCGGGCAAGTTGCTAAGGCACAAGACTTCTATGCAATAAAACCAGAATCCTAACTCTCAATTTTGAGTAGAGAACTTGATAGAAAGGGGTAGGTAGGGCAGGACAGGTAAGCAGGCCATTGATCGCTATTGTAAAATTAAGAAGAAAGGTGACTTATATCCACCAGACCTCTCTTTGGCAAAGACAGCATCACCTGCCACCAAAATGGCACTGATCCATAGAGGAAAATGAAATATTCCAACAGTAGCATATTACTGCTTTTTACCTGGTGACAGTATCAAAAGGGATCCCTCTGAGCCCATTTTAAGGAAGGTTCTGGAGCAATGATTCTTTTTTTTTCTTTTTGTGCTTTTTTGGTGAGGAAGATTGACCCTGAGCTAACATTTGTTGCCAATCTTCCTCTTTTGTTTTTTCTCTGCAGTATTAAAAGGAGTTTTTTGACCCACTCTTCTGGATAGGGCAGACAGATGTCCTCCCCTCCCTGAAGAAGCAATTGAGCGATGATAATGTCCTGGAGGCTAAGTCTTTCCTAACCTTAAAGAGGAGGAAGCCAGCTTTTGGTTTCTAATAATTTGGGCTCCGGTTGAAAGGACCACCCAGGGCCTTACAGATGAGTCCTTCATTCTTTCACTCAACAAATATTTGTGAGCACCCACTATGTGATAGGCATTGTACGGGGCCCAGAGGATACAGGAGAGCAAGGTGTGGGCCTTGTCTTCATGGGACCCTGCCACAGGAGGGCAGATTCACAAACAGGCAACTGCCTCCCAGAACATCGTGGAAATGCCCCTCCCACTCTCTGCAGTAGGTGGTAAGTGGGCATCATTTAACCACCAGTAGAGTAAGAGAATCCAAGTCATCAGATTTCATCTGACCAAAGGGTTTCTGGGTAAGGTCCATAAAACACATTTTCAAATACACTTTTTAGGTTTTGTTATATGACGTGCATGATTTACTTGAATTATACAGACCATCTGGAACGTATACTGCTGTCGGACTCAAAAGCTGTCTTCTGAAGGACTGGGAATAAGGCTTGATGAAACTGCCTGGAACATTTTCATCTTACCTATTTTTGAGCTGCAGAAGTTACATTTAATAAAAGCTAGAGGCACCCGGGACTTTGGGGAGAGGAGAATCCTTCTGGTAGCTAAAAGCATATTTATACTAAATATTTATAGTATAAATGTATAAACAGTTTGTATGATTCAGCCACATCACCACTATTTAGCCTCCACAAATGTGAAAAGGGTAACATTAATTAAAGAATAAAATCCTGTGAAGACACATAGGAGAGTCCTCTAAAGCAAGGTTTGAGAGGACCAGAGAAGACCACTTGAAGGATAAACAGGAGTTAGGCAAAGTTTTGAGCAGGAAGTGGTGGTGATACAGATTGTATCCAGGCAAATAGAAGAGCATGTGCAAAGGCACAGAGGCAAGAAAATATTCAAAATTTTGCAGTCTCCCTCTGTGTTGGTGGACTGGTCTTTCATCTGGGCAATAACACTGGTTGAGCTTCTAAATTTCCTAATGGCTCATGCAGGATCTAATAGATACATCTTTTGTCTTCTCTTTATCTGCAACACAGACAGATGCTTTATATTCTCCTTAGTGTATAACCTCAGAATGTCTTCCTATTGTAGTACTGAAAATGAGGAGTAAACCTTTCTCATGCTAAAAGATAAAAATGCTTTGGGTGGTTGAGTTTCCTTGACCATCTAATAGGTTATGAATTCAGGGTGTTTAAGTTCAAGAGCTTAATGCTTACTCATTAAGAGTTTACACCATTATAGTTGTTTACATTGGCCCAAGCGCCATTTTGAAACACTGCTGTAGCAGAGTTTGCAGCACATTCAAATTGCTTCACTTTCCAGTCAGTTCTAATGCTTAAGTAATCCAGTAGCAAGCTGTGAAGAAGTCATCTCTATAGTCTTTGTCTATAATAGTAGTTGCTACCATTGATTCAGCATGTTTCTTATGCCAGAAATTTTTCCACATAGATATTTCATTTAATCCTCACAATAAGCCCATGCAGTGCGAATCCTTTTCCCTGTGGTGCAGATGAAGAAACTGAAGCTCCAAGACATTATGTAACTTATCCAAGGTCACACAGCTGGACAGTGGCAGAATCTGACATCTATGTTCTTAGTTACGGGTTTGTTCCAGTAACGTGTTCTAAGCACACTGCTATGAGTTTGCATTGGTATGAGTCTCTCTCATGGATTATTTCAAAAAAATGGAATTTCTGAACATTGAGTATTACTAGGTGTTCCTTTCACTGGAATTAACTTATATAAGAATAGAGACAAAATATTGCAAGTTCAGAATTAAATTGTGAGACGAGATTACAGTGATCCTTGTAGTTTCTTGTGGGTCTTAGTAAGTCCATGAACTATTCTGGAAGAAAATAATTTTGTTTCTTTTAAGAAATAAGACCATGTTACAAACAAAGGGTCACTCATTAAAACTGCTGGGATCCAGGTTCAAAATAGAAACCGATTCCTTTGGAACTCAGGAATGGACAACAAAGAAGAAGCATTGGCCTTGGACTACACTGACGGAATCTTCTCTTCTCCCTTAGGCTACCCTCATACCCACTAACGTTTGTTCTCCCTCCATCCTCCTGGCCCACAGCTCCTGTTAGGCTGCTCAAGGGCCTTTGGCTGAGGTTCTCTGTCACCTTACTCACTGTTTTCTTTCCAAATCCCTTCCATCCTAAGAGAATCAGCTGAAAAGGTGATTACCTTTCCCATAAATGCTCTTTACGGCCTCAGCCCGCGATGATTGCTCCCTCCTCCAAACTCCTGACGTACTTATTGTTTGCAGCAGTAGTTAGGATCTTTACTTATTGTATTGTGTGTAAGTCAGGTCCCTTGTCTTCCATGAGCCTGTAAAGGCCTTGAAGGCAGGATCCAGGTTTTTACTGCCTCGTGTCCACAGCTTTGTTACCCTATGCAGTGCTGATCACATCCCAGTTTCTCAATAAGTAAGTACTCCTCAATTTAATTGAACCTTTCTCTGCCTCGACTCCTTACTCAGATCATAGTATGTTGGCTCTTTGGGTCTCTTTATGTTTGGTAATTCTTCACCCTACAGAGATGTAATGGGGACCCAACAAAAATTAAGTCATGAACTTACAGTGTGAGATCAACCTGTAATCATGATTCTTGGCATAAGGATTTCCATTTTAAGTAAAAATTATTTTCTTTTTATAAAAATATAATAATTTATATGCACACTGCAAAAAGAGTGGAGGGAATTATAACAAAATAAGAATAACAGCTCTCTTTTGTGGCAGAATTATGGGTAATTATTTTTCTCTTTTTGTTTTTCTATATTTCATATTAAATATACTCAAATTTTCTGTATGAATACGCATACTTAAATAATTAGAATAAATTATGCTAAAAAGTTGAAAAATCTAAATCAATCAGTTAACATCAAAAACTTCAAAAGAGGGGCTGGCCGGGTGGCACAGCGGTTAAGCTTGCACATTCCGCTTCTCGGTGGCCCAGGGTTCACTGGTTCGGATCCCGGGTGCGGACATGGCACCACTTGGCAAAAGCCATGCTGTGGTAGGCGTCCCACATATAAAGTGGAGGAAGATGGGCATGCAGATGTTAGCTCAGGGCTAATCTTCCTCAAACAAAAAAAAACTTCAAAAGACCCCATCCCCTTCCAGATGGCATTGCCTTTTGTTGGAAGAAGTTCAACTTAAAAGGGCTCTTCATTCTGTTCAACTACTAATGACACACAACAATTTTCTCTGGAGGACTTTGCACATGCCTTCATTGTCCTTTCTCCTTGGTAACTAGTACCCAGCGCCTCTTGAATTCCTTCAGATTTTACTGTGCTAGAAAAAGGAAAGTCAAGTGAATCAAATGTGTCACTTTCAAATTGGACAATTTTGCAAATAGATTACTGATGCAGAGCTGAATACATCAAACATGTCGAATGACACTTTTGTCCAAGGCTACAGGCATTCCAAGTTGATGAATGAGGCAACTAAAGTTGACACGGAAATGAGTTGGATAATTTTAAAAGCAAACCGAAGATTAAAATAAGAGAAGTGGGCCTCCAGAAAATACCAAGTACAAACAAATTTGCAGTGTTTGTTATTGCCGCGGTTAAGAGTGCTATTGTTGCTACTGTTATGGTTACTATTGATCATTAACAGGATGAATAACATTATTTAACTTTTCTTGCAAAGTGCTTTTCCATCTCTTTTGCTGAGTGTAATTTCTATTATCAGAAGAGAAAAGTCCAGACTAATGTATGTCAGAGCGGGTTATGAAGCATTTTTCTAATGTTCACTCTACTTGAAACTTAAATGTCATGCTTCACCAACTAAGTTACAAAGTAAGGTCATATTTCTTTTCATGTCCTAACCATGGTGACTCTAGGCTCTCAAGTGCCCACAATAAAAGAAAGTCAGAACTTTCTGTGGGTCTTCCTCCAGTCCCAGTAACTTCTGGGACTCTATTGACCATTTGTATATGTTTTACAAACCGGGCCTAGGGGTTATTTGTCCTTTTTCCCACTATTCCCTCCCAACCCTACAACACCAGAGCGTTCATGTCTCCTTGTGTCTTCACAGAATGGACTCCCCCAAACTGCTCACCGTGCAGACTTGATCTAAGCATGGACACTGTTCTCTCCGATTGCCTTAAAGATGCAGCTAAGACCAGTCAGTGGTGTTGGCCAAAGATATAGTGGAAGTTTGGCATGTATAGAAGTGGGTACTGAGAATGATCTACTCTTCCACTGTGGTTGTCACTCCAAGAGCTCACAAACCCTAAAGCCAACTCCAGAGTCCCTGCCTTACTCTCAGGTGGCTCCAGTGTAATGGTGAGAGGGACTCTTCTTGCACTCTGCTTTCCACCACCTTTGATGGGAATCTCTACACTGCTTTACCCCATAGTCACGGGCTCCTAATCCTCTGGCCCAGATAGTGAAAATGGTCCTTTCCTCCCAAAATTCAAGGCCCATTTTTCTTCCACCGGCATGACTGAGAGTGGAAACAGCCAGGACCTTCAGCGGAATCATTCACACTCACTCACAGGTTGCAATCTGACCTCCAGGCCCCAGACAGGGCTATCACAGAACAGACAGCACATTTCCCAAAGTCTGGGTTGTTCATTCTTCATTAACTCTGTGGCAGATACAATGCCACATAGTCTCCAAATTCCATTTCATTTTCCTGTTCCTGGGCACGCGAGAAGATGACATTTCTCAGAGTCACTTGTAGGTGGGCTGGAACCATACATCCAGTCTGGCCAATGGGATACAAGTGTGGTCTTCTTGGATGAGACAGTGAAAAGTCCTTGTACAACCCTCCGTCTCTCTTTTCCCCTGCCACAGTGGTCACAGAATTAAGTTTTCCAGATATAAATGGCCTGATTCCTTGAGTCACTTCCTGTGAGAGAATTGCCCTAGAGCTCCTGCTATTTCAGTCAGTGTGCTGGGTTCGAAGGCATACCGTCCTGCCCTCCTGATCTTAAGAATTATTTCACATTAAAGAGTTTGGAATTCATCTTAAGAGCAACCACGAGAGCTTGAAGGAGTTTAAGCCATGATACAATATTCTTCTTAGAAAGATCTCTGTAAAAGACATGAGAGAAAAAAGTTTGAGGGGAAAGACTAGAGGCGGTAATCCAGGGACGAGCTGGTGACGGCCTGAACTAGTGTGGTGGCAGCAAAAATAAGTGGAGATTGGAGATGCAGTTGGAGCGAGAGAAATGAATGGGTGTAACAGGTACAAACCACGTGCACATGGAAATTTAAATTCCTGTTAAATATTTTTTTCCGGAAGACTGCTTTATAGGAATCTGTACTCATTTTTACAATTTGCAAATAATGTTTCAAAATAACCAAAAAAGAAACAGCCTTAGCTCTACACGGGCACCGCAGCTCTCTCGGTGGCACGAAGCCTCAGGTTGCAACTGCTCTCCAGTGTTCAGAATCACCTGCTGGACACTTCCTTCTTCACAGCTTAGGCAGATCCCTGCCTCTGACACAGAAGAGCCTGAAAACTCAAAAGGGTGGGAAAAACTGCATGGGGGCTGCCAAGAATTGCATGATCTTCAAATAGAAAAACTGTCTTCAAATCTCTCTCTCTCCTCTTCTTGCTTATTAAACAGAAAGCTCTCTATCTCTCCAATCACCAGCCGCAGCTCTCCCCTTAGCACTTGTCCTTCTCAGAAGATCCACACAGGGCGGCTCCTCTGGCCTCATGATAGAAGTTAAGACTCAGATGTCAAAGTCTATGATTTAGAGGAGTTTGAGGATTCACCACTTCCCATTGACATGACCCTCACCTTGGTCTCACCTTCTCAGGATAATTGAGTCCCCCATCTCCCTCCTTTATCACACCGGCAAACCTAAACCTTTCTCCTTACACAGTCGTAATACTTAATTACATCTTTAAAATTAACTCCCCTTTGAGATAGTGTTGTTTTGTTTTATTTCACTCTTCTAAATAATTTATAAAGTAGCCTCATGGAAAGTAAAATGTATGGTTGCATTCTAAAGCTTATTTTGTAATATTTTTATTCCTTAATTACTTTTTAATTTTGATTTTGGAAATGGAAATCAACTACGGTCGAAATAATAGTTGATTAGGAAACTTCCGGCAAAGCATGAGGAGAGACTGAGAGACAAGCAATAACAGACCATACATTTTCTTTGTCACCTCATGGTTAGCGAGGATGCATTTCAGGCCAAGGTTGAAGACAAACCTTAAGACCCCCGACTTTTACTCTGTTGGTCGTGCAGCAGACACCTCTGATGCTCTATGCCAAGTTCCACCTGCCCATTTCTGATTTCAGCCACAGCCATGGTGGACGTTTCCCATGGGAGCCAGACTCACCGCACCGTGGCAACATGCCACCTCACTGTGCTGCACATCTTTCCTCTTTCTGCCTCAGGACCTTCTCCCATGCCCCTGGAGCCTGTTCAGCCACATAACACACGCGAGCTGGGGTTAACATCGCTGGAGACAATCTTCGGCAAATAGGAGAAGGAGCTGGTGGATAACTGCCCCAATGGCCCATCCTGCAGGTGGACAGCTCTAGGAGGCCTTCTATCTGCCTCTCAGAGGACTTGTGTCCCATCGCCCCCCACGGCAATTTCAGTAACACACGCTTATATCAGCTCTTTGTCCTGCCCTCTTTCCTTCCTCCTACTCCCCTGTTGTTGTTTCTGGCATCTATAACTTCACTCTAGGGTTTTGCTTTGATGGAGAACCCACATTAAGAAAGCTGACTTGCTTGCTTTTAAGAATTAAGGGCCTTAGGAGGAGAATGGGTGATTTTAGGAGGTATCATCAACTGAATTTAGTGAGTGATTAGATCAGAAAGGGGAAAGGCGTGGGAAGGGAGGAACAAATGTAGCACCCCATCAACAATATCAGTTGTTGTCATACAGTCGAGGCAGTTCCTAACCATCTGGCTTGGCTTATCTGCACTCCTCGTGTATAAAGGCTGGCCCCAGGCAGGGCGCTAAAGAGAGTAAGACATACCCTTTCACGGTGCTGCTAGGGGGTCCCTACTCTCCATCTTCCCCTCCCAATTCCATTGCAGAACATTCAAGGGCCATCTCAAAAGCCCTGTATCCTGCTCTTCACCTGGCTTCTGAGAATTTCTGGTGATAATGAATAAAAAGAGAAGGGAAAAGAAAAAGACCAGGAGCAGGTTAGAGAGGAAAGCGAACGAAGGAAAGGGAATGAAGTGGAGAGGATTAGGATGGGAGGAGACGGGGTGGATAAATGGCTGTCACATCTCTGTGTCCTCTGCACTGCAGGGCCTAAGTCACTCCCAGTGTTCCTCCGCACCAGTCTACTCTCCCTTGGAAATGCACAACGTGTCTCAAATGTTTTCCTACCAGTGAAGGTAAGGGAATGTCAAGGATAAACAGGTTCTCTCCTACGCCAGTCCAACGTTTCACCTTCATTTACATATTGGGGTTAAAAAAATAGATGCCAGTATGACTTAACAAAGTAGACCTATGTTGACCTTCTATTGAAGTTAAGGGAAGGTTTGAATCAATAAATAATGTAATCAGTATTGGTGCCATTGAATGGGAAAGAGAAAGCCATTTAGACATAGTATGGTGACCTTTGTTAAATTAGCCACAGAAATGTCAAATGTTCTTTAGCACAATAAGGCCAGGGGTTATGGTTTTAAAATGAAAAAGGTCAGAGTAATGCAAACAAAAAAAATATGCTTTCTTTATATGAGACTAAACAGTGTTGACATCAAAAACACCAATGCTAGGCTTGACCACTTGGGCTGGATTCTTAGGACAACTAATGAGGAAGCTCTTGCTCATGGGAAAACTAAACCAGAAATAGAGCACCCTCAATTCATGGAACAGGAGCCAACATCCCAACCCTGGGCAATTGACAATGGCCAAATGAAGAGGAGACGCCATTTTCATCCAACCAAAGGCTCAGGCTCTCAACTGTGAGACACAAGAGATGCCTAAGAGGACAGGCCTAAAACTTCTCGTCCTCTGTGGAAGGAGGGTAAAATTGACCCAGGAAGGGGCTGAAGGCACTGAACTAGGAATTACAGAGAGAGAGCTGTGTGGAAAGGGAGGGAGAGCTGGGGAGAGCATCCCAAGGCCTCAGTCTATGGGTCCTTCCATTGCATGGTACATAAGTTCAGATTAAGTTACCACCTCTCCTCCTCCCACACTGTGCTGGGTTTTGAGATCTACATGGCCTTTAAAAGAAGAACATGTTATACACCTTTCATAGTGTGCATTGTGTTGGCCTGAAAAGCCCTGGCAGAGGCTCTGGCAGAGACAGGACTGGAGGACATCAGCCCCTCTCGTGCATTCCTAGGCCAGGTCTCTCATTCACAGTATTGGTGCCAGGGACTCTGCCAGCCATTCCAGAGCCTTTGTGCAGACTAGAAAAAGACACATTGCTTTTTCACAGATAGCTGAGCCAGCTGAAAAAGGTGTTTTCATTGGATGAATAAGGCACCCCTTCTTCCAGCAGACATATGCGAGGGTTCATAGCTTGTGAGCAGATTATGGGCTAGATTTTAGCCTCCACTCACTCCCTTAGTCCAAGGCATTTATGCAGAGCACAAATGGCACAACACTGTGGCCCTGAGCCCCACAGGGATCCACGTTCAGCAGAATCTCCATTCCTCCATTCACACGCTAGAGAAGAGATTGCAAGGGAACCAGCAGACACAGGAAGGACCAGCTCCACCCCACCACTGTGACCCATGGAACCTGACTGATGTTCTGATTGTGGGATGGGGAGGAGCTTCTCCTGCCTTTCAGAGAAACACGTACAAGGTACGGGTACAGTGCAAGTTGGAGGAGATGAAACAGAGAGTGGACCTGAGAGAGAGAGAGGCCAGGAGAAGAAACGTGGAGGAAGAAGAGCTCTCGTGGGAGGATGGGAGGGCAGGAGCACAGATGCAGAGGCTCCAGCCCGGCCACAGGGAGCCCAGGGGCAGAGGCGACATGGCTTACCGTCATCCCTACTCTGCTCTGCTTGTGTTTCTGCCCCAAACCCGGTCCCATCCCAGCGCAGGGGGGAGACAGGAAGCAAGAGAGGGGCCGGCGACTCTGGAAAGGGAAATTCAATCCCAAGGGGAGATCAAAATAAAAATGCATAATAAAACCTTTTAAAATAACAAAATAAGAAGCTTTTCTTAGTTTTAAAGAAAATCCCAAGAGGTAGGAGCAGAGAGGGAAAGGGCTTCCCTTGGCGACCAGGCCGCTGACGACACTGACACTGGGCACAGGTTTGCAAGGCCTGGGTCTGTCAGTTGCCGCCCCTGTGCTTTCCTGTGCTTCCCCGCGGCCAGGCTGTGCTTTGTAAGGGTCAGCCTGGGAGCACCCACTGTTCTAAACACTCTTTCAATTTAAAAAAGATGCATCACTAACCTAAAAGTTGGCCTGTACTGTAGTTATGAAAACTTGGAAGATTGAGCTGAATGTGCACATATCCTATGAAGCCTGGAAGGTTTTTTTAAAAACCAGTTTCATGATAATTTAGCTACTTGTCATTTTTCTCTCTTCATAAAAATAAAATACAGGCCCCCAAAAAGGGTACTGACTTAATTATTTGAGTTCTGTATAAAAATGAGTTTCTTGTATATACACATGCAAATTTTAGGAATTCTGATAAATTAGAGAACGATTATTCAGATTTCCCTGTCTTTGCATTTTTTTTTTTTTGCTTTCGGTGGGGAGAGGGTGGGACACATGAGATTCCTTTAGATATTGACCGAATCATAAGTAAAACATATTTACACTCTTATATTTATGAATAACTTTTCAGGAATGTATTTTCTGAAGAAGACCCAAAAGGAAAATGTTCATGGGTATAGCTCATCTAGAGAAACATTGACCAGTTTCAGCAGAAAAGATAGCACAGAAAGAAGATGGCATCTGACTTCAACATTTAGGTACAAGAGAAATTTCAATTGACTTTTCTTCCTTTTTTGACAGGTCTGGGTTAAAATACAGAGCAATGCTCAGCCAGTGAGCCTGGATTGCCTGAGGATGAGCATCCCTCATATCTAGTGCTCATCCAATGAACATCTGTTGAGCACCTGTACCTAACAGGTTCTGTGCTAGGCACCAGGGGCTACAAAATGAATAAAGCTCAAGAAACTGCCATCTGATCAAGGAGCTAGACTTTTAAAAATAATTACAGCCCCTTCCTGTAAGACCATTTCTAAAAGTACAAAGTAAAGTAGTAGCGTATCAGTCATGGTGTTTTTGGCTACTAATAGGAGAAAATCTGACTAAGAATGCCTTAAATGATAAGAAATTTATTATCTCATCAAAAAGAAGTTCAGGGTAGGCTAGTTCAGTGACTCAACAACTCATCAAAAACTCAGATTATTTCTACCTTTCCATTTGGTCTCGCTCAGCATGTTAATTATTGTCCTTATGGTTGACTGTAACGGTCACAAGATTGCTGCTACAGCTCCAGGCATCACATCCTCACACAGCTGCACTCACACAGAAGCAGGAAAAGAACAGTTTCTCTTAACATGTCTTTCTTTTAATAAGAAAGGAAAATTGTTCCAGAAGTCCCCCAGCAGACTTCCCCTTAAGTCTTATTGGCCAGAATTGTATCTCAAGTCCACGCTTAAATGAATCACTTGGAGGGTCTGCCTGGTGGTACATTGGTTAAGTGCACACATTCTGCTTCGGCTGCCTGGAGTTGGCCGGTTCAGATCCCAGGTGTGGACATGGCACTGCTTGGCAAGACATGCTGTGGCAGGCCTCCCACATAGAAAGTAGAGGAAGATAGGAACGGATGTTAGCTCAGGGCCAGTCTTCCTCAGCAAAAAGAAGAGGATTGGCAGCAGATGTTAGCTCGGGGCTGATCTTCCTCAAAAAAGAAAAAAATGGATCACTTGGAGAGAAATTTGAGTCCCTGATTAATTCTGACCAATGATGCATTGGTCACCTTTTAGAGCATTTTAGCTCCAACCCAGACCCTCTTTCTTCTCCCAGCTCAGCCAAGAACCACGTCTGTCTTTCATGTCAAAGAGGCAGCAGGTGCCGTCAATCCCACCTAGGCTAATCATTGGCTGAGGTACCTAAGCCAGAGTTGAGGCCCCAGCTCAAATTTGTCCACTGCAGGAGGGTGTAAATTGTTTTCTTTTTAAGTATAGAAGTAATTAATAACAACCTTTAAAGTTTTATTTAACTTCATACAAAACTCAGTACCTCTCAAACAGTTGACAAGTGTCAATAGAGAGCAACAACAAAAAAGAAACAAAAAGAAATCCACAGTGATCTCAGAGTGGATATTTGGTGACGCTGTCATTGACCCTCCTTTAGAGAAACATGGGCTCCTAGGAAGGCAGAACAACCCAGGGCTCTCCGAGCCAGCACGTGCTGAGGAAGAGCCCATCAGAGAAAAAGAGAAAGGAAAATTCATACCAAGTCCTCACACTGTTCCTCTTGAATAGAAAACGGTACAAAGATGAAAAGAGAGAAGGCAGCCGGCAAAGCCTCGTCACCTACGGCCCTGCTAAATAGAAAACACAGAGACTCGCCACAGGGCAGCTCCATAAAGCCACTCTGGATGCCGTTTTGCTAATTGTGTTTGCTATGACACCAAGCGCTGCTTAGCTGGGCTCCCAGAGTGTCTCCATAATGGCAATCACTTGCCAGGAGCGAGAGTGATTTTTATTTGATATCCATACAAAGCAGAAGCAAATGAATTACCATAATGAGAAGCAACATAATGATGTAGAGATGTACAAACTGCCATTGTGTTTAATAACAACAAAGCCTTCCCTTTTGAATTAAATTTGCGGGAAGATTCTTAGTGAAGCATCATTGTAGTGAAACCAAGTTGTTTAAAAAAAAAAACGAAAAAACCCACTCCAAAGTATTTCAGGCCCATGATGACTGGAAAGGTTGTTAGGAGAATTTTTTTCTTCAATTTTGATTCTCAGTAAAATCGACTTTATTGTAGCACTACACAGCTGCGATTTGTGAAGTAAATGGCAAAGCTAAATGTGCCGAAACCCGACACGTTCCCTGAGCAACAAAGGGATGGAAGGCAAATGTTACAGTATTATTGACAACACTGGTAATGCTTGTATAAGCATCTGCTTCATAAAGGGGAAAAACCTACATTATAAACAAAAGGAGTTTCCAAGCGAGGTCTGCCAACTCAAATTGTGGCTTTGATCTGAATTTTCACTTGTTAGATCAAATATTTCCTCTTTTTACCTTTTCCATCCAAAGTAAAAAAAATTCTCTGATCCTGGAAACCTCCCTGTAACTGACTCATTTTTTTTCTTTCTCTAAAATTGTTTCCTACCTGTTCTGGTATTTACCTGTTTCCCACCAGCTGACGTTTGACAACGGATGAAGACACCACTGATTAGCACGGCATCAATTTACATCTGTTCCCATGATCATGATGAGGGCATTGTCCTCCTCTTAGACGGAGTCCAGTGTGTGAAGGGAATGTGTCCTTCCCCCACCTCGACCTGCCTCAACGCTTTCAATGCTGCTATTTGTATCCATTTTATAATAGAACATTCTGGTTTCATTAATGGACAAACCCAGAGCCAGACCATGGCTTGCACTAGATTGAGCTAGACTGGAGCAAAATCTGAAGAGCAATCTTAGGGGACTAGATGTCAAGCGCCTCTGGTCCCCGGGTTCAGCTCCCCACTGAATGTGACGGAGGAAAGTCGACTTCTTTGTGTCTGTCTCAGTTTTCCCAGCTGTTAAATAGGCACAATATCTGCTCCCTCCACATCATAGGAGTGTCTTGAGAATCAAATCATATTCCAGTATTTTGTTAACTGTTATTGCTATGTCCATGAGAGACAATGGGAGGTCTTTTAGTAAACCCAAAACGCATCCAGAGAATCATATAACTTATAAGGATCTATATTTTGGGGTTTGTCATTTTATCATCCAACAAATATTTCCTGAGGTCCTATTCAATGCAAGGCACAATCCTCAGGGCTGTGGGAAAAAATATGATGCCTGCCCTGGAGGGGTTATAAACAAAGTGAGCGAGAAGGCACGCCCATATAAAAAGATGACTGGAGACAGAGCCCATATCTAAATACCAAATGGGAGATGGTATTATAACCCAGGGATTGGGGGTGCAGGCATGGGCATCACATTTTCTGGGTCTGAAGCCCGGCTCTGTCACTGACTAACCATGTGTCCTTGGGCAAGTTACTTAACCTCTCTATGCCTCAGTTTCCTCATCTGTGAAATGGGGATAAGAATAGCACCTACCTTATAAGCTTATTGTGAGGAATAAATGTATTACTATATCAATAATTCTCAGAACAGTGCCTGGCACATACATAGGACACACTTAATGAATGTTTGCTGAACATAAAGATACCTTGTGGTACAACAACCAAGAGGGAGAGAGAGCACTAAAGATTACGGTCAAGTGGCTCTGGTGTCCTGATCTGGGGGTGGAAGGTTGGGAAGGGCCAGCGGAGGTGGAGTGAAGGGATGAGGGATTAGACAGGAGAGGATTCCAGACAGGTCAAACGGCCTGCACAAAGGCTCACAGCCAGGTTCGCATGAGGCACATTTGGGGTAGAATGAAGAGAAGGGTCAGAGTTTCCTAGTGGAAACAGTGGGGGCAGGGCGGGGGTGGGGGCGCTGTAAGTAGGGATCTAGGTGGGATAGCTCATCTCCGCCTGCATCTCCGGGGCCAAAAGCTGGAGTGAGTAAAGGGGCCGTATTTCAAAGCTGCCAGCAAAGTCTCTTTCTCTACAGACAATGGCTTGAATGTACCTTTGAAAGTGTATTGCTTTTGAGTTTTGGAGGGAGAAACAGAGCACTTTAATGAGCTTTTGGTCCTACAAAGATAAATCTAAATACACCATTTCTGAAAGTGTTCCTTCACAATGACATGCTAAACTGCTTTGCACGATAACCTTAAGGCCATCCCATCAGGCTTGCACGAAATTCCCAGGATTCTACCCACAGACACCTAGAGAGGAACGGGGAGAGAAAAGGACACAGGGAGAGAGAGAAAAACTAGCTAGAAAGCGTGGACACTTCTGCCTCAGGAGCAGGTAGGAACTGCGATTCGCCTTTTCTCTCCACGGTTTTCAGCCCCTGTGCCTTAAGCAGTATGAGCATCTCACCACGGAAAATGGGATTCTGAAGTTAAAATAAACCTTAAACCCAGACCAGCTACTTCCTCTGGTGTTCTGCTGAGGAAATCGTGGCCTCTACTAGGCTTACAGAGAAAAGTGCGTCCACCTACAATGCGGCTCTCCTCTAGTGGTCTCCAAAGTTAATTTCTTACACAAATTCTGCCTTACACAGTAACTTTAGAACTTAATCCCCAGGAAAGATTCGGCTCTACTGTACAGAAGATTGTTTTTATTGTGGGTAGAATTTATCACAACAGATTACGTTTCTGTGGGAGGGGCTAGTGGAGACCAGGTATGAGGAGGAATGTGGATCCTCTTCAGCCATGTCTTTTGGGGGCTCATATGTGTGGCCTGAACTTCAGAGAGGGGAGACAGCAGAGGTCTGTCTTTGTGAAGGGAGATAATCAGGCCCTTGAAAAAAGATGGCAGGCCAAGAACTGAGGAGAGACCCAGTGTGTTATCCTGTGGGAGGCCTTGGTCTCTGGACTGCAGAAGAATTCATATCTAGCATTCAAAGCTAAGGGGTGGGGGAGTCTGTATTATAATTTCTTCTTCTAACCCTTACTTTTCAATGGAGTATTTGTTTTTAATCATGAGGCATGATCTAGGCTATGCTCTGGGCCAAGTGGTAAAGAGTATCAGAAACAGAGATGGAGCAGGAGCTTCCGGAAGCCAAAGTCAAGAAGATTGGAGCATCCGTGAGGAACAGAACAGCTGACTGGGTCTCTGGTGCGGTAGCCCATGGTTAGAAATCTCACCGCCGAAAATATTCTGCCTCAGTTAACACTTGTCCTCTGCGAGCAAACATTAAATGGAAGTCACTGTACATTATCCCTGAGCAAAGCAATGAGGAAAGTCCCCTCAGAGGCGGCAGGACTGGGCTCTGAGTAAGGGTGTTCCCTTTCCAACGGGCTGCCTTTCAGGACCACCCAGAGCCTGCCTTGTCATCCCACAGCACCCCAGAAGGTCCCCTCTCACTGCATTGGCCACTCGTTACTGTAACCGCCATTTTATTCCTGGAAAGGAAGAACCAAAGTGAGGGACGCTGTGAACAACAGACAGGCCTTGGTTGCTGATGGGGTGACTGCAGAGAAACCGTCTTCTGCTCTTTGCTTCGCTGTTTTGCCTCCTTATCTAGCCCCTCTCACTCCATCTCAGTGAAATCCGTCGTGATCTCCTAGCTCAGATTTCACAAGTCAACAAAAAATTAGAACTACTTTAACGACATTGGTTCTACCGTGCCAGGCCATGGGCTAGAAGTTACAAGAGTATGCAGTCTCTACTTGCTTTTTATTGCAGAACAGCACATTCCTGGAGCCCATGTCATAAAGCGGATCACTGAAAAGCAAATTACATTTTCCCACAGGAACAATGTTGTAATTAGAGGCTGTATTCCTGACAAAGGACTTGGCTTCATGTAAATAGTAGACATGAACAAAAATATTTCACAAAAGCAAACATTTGAGAACTATAAATCCTTATAATTGTTTAAAATAATAAAATTTTCTTCAAGTATTATAAACCAGGCGGGATTAGAGCGAGTACACACTGATTATTCGGGGACTCCAATGTACCATAAAGTGTACATTAAAATATAACTACTGTGTCATAAATTAGAACCTGAAACTAACTTTAATATAGTCATTACATACTTAATTAACAATGGGAAGGCAGAGAAGTACCATGATCACGTGCAGCATTGGGCGTTAGGAGAGCTAAACTACAGGCTCGCCCTCTAGACTGTGAGCTCTATGAGGCTAGAGGCTGGGCCTGCCCGGAGTAGGTCAAAATCATATTTACAATGAACAGCCCAGCCCTGGGTTGTCACTTTGAGTAAGCAAATCACTTTCTCTAGTTTCTGTCTCTTCATATGTAAAACAAGGAAGCTCAACTGTAAAGTCTCTAAGGTCCCCAGCAGCTCCAACATTCTGGGACTGCCACTTTGGTCTCTTAGAATTCAAAAGAGTTTCTGGGTGTAGTCAGCTGTGACTTCAGTGAACCTCAGTATGACCCTCCAGTATTTATACACTCCTGTAGTCGCCAACCACATTCTGGGCTTGGCCATGTGAATGGCTCTGGCTAGTGGGACTTTAGCAAGCCAGATACAACAGAGGCTTAGTAAGCACTTGCAAACTGGGGCTTGTTCCCTTGGAATATTCCCTCTTGGAATCCAGGTACCATGCTGTGAGGAGCCCAAGACCCACGGAGAGGCCACGTGGAGGGAAACCAGGGCATTCTGGTGGACTGTCCCACTGAGCTCCCAACCAACTGCCAGCACCCACTGCTAGTCATGAGTAAGCATCTTGGACATTACAGCCCAGTTGAGCCCCCAGATGACAGCAGCCCCAGCTGATACCACGTGGAGCAAAAGAACCTCCCAACTGAGCCCAGGCAACCCATAAAGTTGTGAAAGATAATACAACAATTGCTGTTTTGAGGCACCAAGTTTTGGGGTGGTTCATGGTGCAGCCATAGCTAATTGAAACTCTAGCACATGGCTTAAATGGCTCTGGACATTGGTAAAAACAAACCATCCAAAGAAGATTGAATAATGTCTATGTTTCTCCATATGAATTTTCCTCTCCTGAGAAACATTTAAAATATTCCAATTATCTTAAAATAGACTCAAAATACTGTAGTAGTGTTCAATAAATATTTGTAGTAGATAAAGATGTTTCCTCTTCCTGAAAAATATTCTTCCTCTTTACCTTCTCTTGAGAAGGTAGAGTTGTTCAAATGCATAATCAAATAAAGGTCACAAGGAAATGATATGTGCTGCTCAGTCATTCTACTTGACACTTTGTTGATAGCTCTTAGAACATTCCCTCACTACCGATAATCCATAAAAACAATTATCAAGCAAAGCAATGACTTTAAAATAAGACTGTAGCAAGGTCTCTGGTAAGGCAGAACTTTACTTTTTCTTGATAAAGAAACTGTTGACATTCAGGCTGGCAGAAGTAGGCAAATTTGGATGAGACATAGGTTTTCTTAAAGTAAAAGGATGAGACACTCCAACCATTCTCTGGGAAATTCAAAATTATTGAAACCTCTCAGGGGTGCCCCGATCAAGGGTCAATGACAAAGTCAAGGAGACTACCACAATAAAATCAGCATGGTGACCAGAAAGAGACTGAGTCTGGGGACCTTCCCCGTATGAAGTCAGGTGGTCAAAGAGGTAGTGGTTCTAAACCTATCTTGTACTCTGGGGAATTGGCTGTGTGGGTGAAAAGAAAGCCTGTCAAGTTGGGCCACCTGCTCAACTTTGATGTGAGGTTCCTCTGGCCAGTCATTGATGAGGAGTGGAGGATGGTCTTTCCTCACACTTTGAAGAACCAGCCTGGGAGAGGGCCTGCACTGGTGCTTGGGCCATCAGCCACTTAGCTCAGATGCTGTCATAATGTCATCCCAGGAACGATGGGTCAGGAGGCCTTCTGACTTCCCAGGTTTTGCTGTGTCACCAGGTCTGCAATTTGGTGATGCCTTAACCCAAGCAGAGACAAGTTTCTGGTGGCAGTGACAACATGCTCTCACTCTTACAGGGTATGCCTGCCTGAACTCCAGCTCTAGCAGCAAGATAGACCCTCAGGACACCAAGCCTCCTAAAGATCATCCCAGAAGGATGGAACCAGGGAAGCCAGACATTTAGCCTCAAGCCATTTAATTGGAATCGTAAAAAGAGACACAGTTTTATATCACACCTCTAAGCTGGTAAAGTAGGTTGTGTCCATTTGGGGCACTACGAACCTTCTCTCAGATTATTTAAGATGGGTATGAGAAGCACGTAATCTTTAGGGAATGCCAGGCACTGTTTCAGATTCTTACACATGTCATTCATTGAAGTCTCCCATGTAATTATGAGGTAGGTATTTCCGAGAGGGAACTGAGGCACAAGGAAGTAACATAACTTTCTCCAGCTTTGACAACCATTAAGTGGTGAGGCCAGAATTCGGCCCCAGCCATGCTCTGAACTTCTCAATCACTTGCTCTCTTCCTGACACCCCAAAGCTGGCAGCCTTGCTCCCCTGAGCGTTCGAGGGCATTTCATGAAGGAAGCCCTCAACAGAGCTGGAGGTGAGAGAGAACAGCACGCTGTCTGCTCCGCAGCACTTCTCTCCGGGACCAGCTTTCTCTGTATCTTCCACTGTAATTTAGTTAATATACTTAATAATCTCACCAAATGAGGCTAAATCTGTTTTTGGCACCTAACCAAACCTAAGACTGTAAACCACCTGTCAACACCCTCACTGGAGCTTGTCTGGATGCCCACAGGAGAGGAAATCCGGGCTTAGGAGTGTGGCCCTGCTGCGCAGACAGAGCTCAGAACGCCAACTCTCCCGTTCCTCCTGGCCTGGCTCGTTCTGCCTAGAACTCTGAAATACAGCTCCCTACCCGCTTTGGGCTCTGCGTGTATATTGCTATTATCAGTTACCAGCAGTATTTGATGTCGCTACAGCACCTCATATTTGCAAGTCCCCTCCTTCGGGTGTTTGTGCACGGCTGGTCTTCACAGCCACAGCTCTGCACTGACACCACCCGCCCAGAATTATTCTTAGGGGGTAAATGATTTGCTTACGGCAATTGCAGAGGGATGTGCTGGAGAATGCAAGATGAGAGACAGGAGACGAAGGACGCCACGGCCTAGCTGTTTAGGGGAGTCCAGTGAAAAGAGCAGAGAACTGGCAGCTTGATTTTACTTGTTTCCATTTATGATCATAAAAGTATTATTATTAATGAGGCTGTTTTACATTTTACAGCTCCTTTTCAGCTGGAGAGATTCCCAAAAGGTTTTGCGAACTCTGCTTGCGGCTTCACTGTGATCGTGTGGCCATTGCTTGTTCTTGCCTCTCGAGGAGCCTCTTACTCACACAGAGGCAGGGACAGTAGCAATAATCAGTAGATAAAGCCACAAGTTAGACACTAAAGTTTTGCCCCCAACCCTGCCTAGTGTTAAAAAGGGGCTCCTCTTTGCCCCCACGATCCATTCCATTTTCCAGGCAGGAAAAGGTGGTGGCAGCTCAGCATCCATTGGTGAGGGCTGAGTTCCCGCCCACTTGTACCACCGGGGACAATTAGAGCAAAATGAGACCGCAAACATCAATAGGGGAAAGGCTGCAACAAACTTCAGCTAGAAATCTGAAGATGTGCTCCTCTTTGTAACAGTGAAATATAGATTTTAATGCCCTAAAGACACTAAAACTGTAATGCCAACTCTAAGCGTGTGAAACACAAAAGAAACACGGGGTAAGGTCCTAAAGTATTCGATTTAGAGGAAATGAGCAGAAAGTTGAAATAGAAAAGCACAGACATGTGTGGTGTGAAAGCAGAAAAGTCTCGAGGCTAATAGCCGCATTAACAACTCTGAGCCAGCGTCAAATTCTGAAGTCCCCGGGCCCCACGCCCCAGAAGCCCAAGTAGCTTGCTGAGTGTGCTGTCTTCGGGGCCTGCTTCCCATTTGTTATTAAGCCCAGCTCTCTGTGGACCCAGAATCCATTTCTTAAGAATCATGATCATCTGCTTGAATTAGAAGGAGATTGTTACTTACCTTGAAATTCTAAATGCTGTATTTGGTACTAGCTTTTGTCAGCTGCCAGAGGAAAAGTTCAATTAAAACGAGTTTCTTTATCCTTTCCTCCCTCTTAAAAAAAAACCAGGGGGTTAGATTCTATAGTTTACTTGTACAGTACTTTATTCTTAATTATTTTAATTATTTAACAAATACATGTATAGCACTTCCCATGTGCCAGACACTGTTCTGAGTGCTTAACAATATCACTCATTCAATTGTCATAACAACCCTAAGAGATAGGCATTAATATTTTACAGAAGAAGAAATTTACAGATGAGGAAACTGAGGCACAGAGAGGTTAAGTAACTTGCCTGAGGTCACACTGCTAACGAGCAGCAAAGCCAAGATTCAAACTCAGGGAGTCTGGCTCAAGTCCCTATTTTTACTACTATGTTACGCTGCTTCCCTTACATAAATTATGCTCACAAATGTGGAGAGGCAGTTTTTAGCGGAACATAAGGAAAATATTATGAAAGCAAAAGACAATGACAACTTACAATTCAGGAAAATGCGTGTGCCTGGACATATTTTTACAGGTTGCTTCCATTAAAATCTTATTTTTAAAATCATTATCTAATTAACCTTAAATTCTAAGACATTTTTCTCTTCCAGGAAGGAGCCACACATCCATTGGTGGGGCTTCATTTTTGTCTTCATCTGCTTTATAACTTCAAAGACGGGAGGGTGGGTGGAGGTGGGAAGGGTTTGGCCTACACAGGAGGACGGAGCACAGTGATCAGCACTTGGGTTCAAATCCCGGCTTTGCCGCTATTTGTATGACTTTGAGTAAAGTCCTTAATCTTTCTGTGCCTCAGTTGCCTGATCTATAAAACGGGAATGATAATATTACCTACTCAGAGGTGGTTGTAAGATTAATTGAGCTAATACACATAAGGTGCTCGCCGCGCGTGGCCCACAGCGAGCGCTGCGTGAAAGTAGGGAAATTGGGCGGCGGGACAGAATGAGAATGAGACCGCAGACCGCAGACTGATAGGGCCAGTCTCTGCTTCCTGTTAGTTCTCTGGGGGGACTCGTGTCTGTCACCCCCATCAAGGAGGGCAGCGGGCAGGCCTGCCCAACTTTGAGAGGTGACCCTGCAGTTTAATTTCGGAAGCCGCCACCCCTCGCCTCGGGGACCCGACTCAGGCAGGCCAGCCCCAGCCCCAGCCCCAGCCCCAGCTCCAGCCCCAGCCGTGCCCTGGGCATCGTGCACACTCAGTGCACACACGCTCCCCACGGGCCACCAGAGACAGGGCCGCGGCTTCAGCGGCCGGGCGTCCTGAGGGCACCCTGGCTCGGCGTGACAAGCGGCAGGGACAGACGGCCAGCGGGACCGGGTACCAGGAGGGGGCCACCCACGCTCTGCGCATCCCTGCGGCCCGCGGCGCACCCTGCCCTTCGCGGAGCGGGGAGTCCCGCGAAGGCCTGGGCGCTGCTGCGACTCCTTCTGGTGGTCTTCTCTCCCCCGTTGCTTTGAATTACCTGGGTCACGTCCGCTGGCTGAAGACAGTCGTGGAGTGAGACAGGGGACGCCCGTCCTCACCCCGCTGCTCTATCACACGGCCCAGAAAACCCGTCGGCAAAAGGGAGAGTGTTTTATTTTTCAGACTGTTGTAAACCTTTTTACACACAGACACGCACTCACACACACAGTGATCTCCTTTTACAAAAAGACAAAACGGAGGGGACAGATGGGGCGGACCATATTGTTTACAGTTTTCTTCACCTTATTTTTTTCACTTAAAATATATCTGGGGGCAGGCCTGGTGGCGTAGTCTTTGGGTTCACCGCTCAGCTTCAGTGGTCCAGGGTCCGCGGGTGACAGGGGTCCCAACATGCACACCGCTCATCAAGCCATGCTGCACTGGCGTCCCACATAAAAAAACAGAGGATGTTAGCTCAGGGACAATGTTCTTCACCAAATATATATATATATATATATATATATATATATATATATATATATATATATATCTGTACACCTTTCAGATAACGGAACACAATTTTTTTTTTCTGTGAGAAAGGTTGGCTCTGAGCTAACGTCTGTTGCCAATCTTCCTCTTTTTGCTTGAGGAAGAGTGTTGCTGAGCTAACATCTGTGCCCATCTTCCTCTATTCTGCGTGGGATGCCAGCACTGCGTGGCTCCACCAGCAGTGCTAGGTCTGTGCTGGGATCCAGAGCTGACAACCTGGGCTGTGGAAACGGAGCATGAGAACTTAACCACTATGCTACCCTCCCAGCCCCCACGTAACTCATTTTTACCATCCGCATGTTCCTCCATGTAGAGTTCCAAGTTTTATTTAATCATGGCCCCAATGATGGTCATTTTGGGTTTTATTGTTGTTATTCTTGTTCAGTTTGGGTTTTTGCCATCGCACTCAACGTTCCTGTGAAAATCCTCATACACTGTACAAGTATTTCTGCAAGAAAAATTCCTAGAAATGCAACTGCTGGGTCATAATATGTATGTATTTTTAAAATTTTAATAGATGCTCCAAAGTGAGAACCATTTCCTAAATAAAATGCAGACTTCTGTTATGATTGCTGTCAAAAAGGAAAGAGTGACATAAGAATTTTACATTTCAGAGAAAGGGCATTGATGATACTTCTTTGTTTTAAAATGTTTTTCTTATTTTAAATAATTTTTTTAAACTTGTGCTTTGGAGAATACACTATGAAAATACACCATTAAGCAAACCACATTTTGTAATTAAAGCTTAGACGATAAAGCAAAGAAAGGCAAAATGAACCCCTTCCACAGTATTCTGCTCAATAAGGAGATGTGTTTGAATCTCATCATTGCCTGATATTTCCCTGCAGTGTTTCTCATAGTCATTCTAAAAGGTTGTTGAAGCCTCAGACCAATTTGAATCAGAATCTCTGGGGCAGTGGGGAGGGGAGGGGAGGGGTCAGGGAGGGGCCTTAGGCAACTGACTTTTAAATATTTCCAGGTGATTCTGAAATACGGGGAGATTGAGAACCACAGCTACAGGCTTTGGTAATTTTGTGATTCCTGAAATTTTAGCAAAACAGTAATGCAATTGTTCAGTGGCATTGCAATAATAAAAGAACACTAATAAAAGAATATTATTATTATTATTATTATTATTATTTGAGGAAGATTAGCCCTGAGCTAACTGCTGCCAATCCTCCTCTTTTTGCTGAGGAAGACTGGCCCTGAGCTAACATCTGTGCCCATCTTCCTCTACTTTATACGTGGGATGCCTACCACAGCATGGCTTGCCAAGTGGTGCCATGTCTGCACCCGGGATCCGAACCGGCGAACCCCGGGCCACCGAGAAGCGGAACATGCAAACTTAACCGCTGCACCACTGGGTCGGCCCCAAGAATATTAAATTTTCTGAATTTTAAGGGTATAGAATTTACAAAAAGAAATGCAACCTCAAATTCTTTTTATTTTCTTGAATTAATCATCATGCAAAAAATAGTTGTTCATAACTAGGATCAGAGTATTTGTGATTTGTGATCAGAGATGTGTGATTCTAGAGAAAACCAAACAATAGAATAAGTGGGAAAGCTGAAGAAAAGATAGAAGGACAAGAGAGGGAGCTGTGCAGGATTAATGCATAGAGTGTGAGTCAAACAGAAGTTTTTGAAACCCAAAGCCATGGAAAATTCCTTGGAAGGCCAGGGCTCGCTGAGCTTCAATTTTCAAGCATAGATGGGCATTGCCCAATAAGAGGCGATAACAAGCCTTGGTGAATGATCATTAATATGGTGGTAGTGAAATCATATTGTAAGAGAGGAAAAATAATCTTGTCCTCACAAGAGGAGGCCAGGCCAGCAGCCCGTTCAGTTCTTGTCAAGAGCCAGCAATGATTCATAAAGTCCTAAAAGGCAGTTGTGGAACAGGGACTTGGGAGGGACAGTTATAGGATTAAAACCCAGGCCCTCTTCCGCATAGACCCTGAGTGAGGTGGCCTTTATCTTTTCCTCTCCCTAGAATCTTTGTGTCAAGTGAAAAGTCAGCTATTTTGAACCAACAAAAATGATTTTATGCCAGCATGTACAGTGTAATTGTCTTTTCCTAGTAGTTAATGAGCACTCCATATTTCAAGTCAGTCAGCCTATCTTCTGATCTGCCATATCCAGGGAGTCCTAGGTAATTTAGCATTTAGAATTCTGCTTTCGAATTTTGTTATAAAAACAGTGTTCCGTGCCTTTTCACCCTTTTGTTGAGACTAGGGTACGGTTATGAGGCTTAGAAAATTCGTTTGGTAAAAACCCACACGTGTAGTCAACCATATTTTGAATATTAGAACAGCACTTGGAATGCTAAAACTAAAAAACAGTGATGAAGACAAAAAAATAGATGATAAGTCCATGGATTTCAGCATCCCTTCTCCTGCATCAGGACCAGGCCCCAGGGCTTCCAAGGAAGAACAAATGAGGAGCCCAAAACAAGTTAATCAAATACTCTGCATTTGATCTAATTTGAAGAATTAGCCCAAAACCAGACAAAGGACTTTGTGTGATAGTAAATAAAGGGACACAGAAATAGGAACATCCAACTATGACTTTCCAACATCATCAAGACAGTGATAGAAGCTTCTGGCAAGAGACAGAACATTTCTGCTTAAATTTCCTTCAACCGTGTGTGTTGTGTATTAGCCTTGGTATCATGACATCCAAATTGTAAATTTAATGGGGAAATCATATTTACTGTGTCCCTGGAAGGTTGTTAAAATCTCATGGTCTGTTGTACACATCTTATGACAAAATTCGGATTCACTGCAATGTTTTCAGTAAATATGTATTATATCACTTTGATAGGGTCTTGGAAGCAAGAATAGGACAGTAAAGGGATAATATTGCCATTATGTTGGGAATTCCTGACTTAGGAAAAGTTAGCTAGCATTTCAGAGAGCCCTAAGGTTAGACTCCTTCCACGGAGGATGTATAAAGCTGGAAGGATACACAAAGAAGGAAATACAGAGCAAAGCTGCACAGGCACCTGCTTCTCAGAAAGAAACAAGGGGAATTCCAGGAGGAAGAAAAGAGAAAAGGTGTCACAGCAGAAGCAGAAAGCTTTGAAGGTAAAAAACAAAAGGTGATGCTGACACACAAAGCAGGAAGGAGCCCACAGCACACTTTTAGTAAAAATCTGTTACAGTATTTACTGAAAAATAGAGAGAAAGTCAGCCCTAGTGCTCTAGTGGTTAAGATTTAGGGCTCTCACAGCTGCGGCTGGGGGTTTGTTTCCTTGTCAGGGAACCACACCACCCGTCTGTCATTGTCTTACTGTGGCATCTGTGTGTTGCTGTGATGCTGAAAGCTATGCCCCCGGTATTTCAGATACCAGCAGGGTCACCCATAGTGGACAGGTTTCGGCAGAGCTTCCAGACCAAGACAAACTAGGAAGAAGGACCTGGCCACCCACTCCCGAAAACACTGGCCATGAAAACCATATGAGGAGCAGCGGAGCGTTGTCTGATACAGCGCCAGCAGGTGAGAAGATGGCACCGAAAGACTGGGCGAGGTACTGCTCTGCTGTCCACAGGGTTGCTAGGAGTCAGAATCCACTCAACGGCACTAACAACAAAAAGAAAAGAAAAGAAAACAGGGTGGGGAAAGGTCACAGGGCATATGCTCTAGACAAGTTAGCTATGCTGTTTTGGTACTGCTTTTTAGTTTTTATGCCAAGACACTTAGGCTTCTTTGTGGTGAGTGCTAAACAGAAATTAAACCAACAATTGGACCAAAACATGTTAACAATATGCCCACAAACAATGTTTCTGCCCCTTCACCGGTGCCCGTCACAAATTCAGCCAAGAGGCCACTAAGGCCCCACAGTTGTTTGCTGGACTACTGCCCTATGAGAACAATAGATGTTGATTTGTTTTTTTGTTTAATTGTTCCTCTAATTTGACTAACCATAAGGCTGATTTGTACATTTACAAACATTAAGATCTGGATTGGATTTCCGATCCTCAGTGTCACTCAGTCTTTCAACATCCCAATGGGCCCGTGTGTGTTGGCCACCTTTCAGGTAAGAGTCCTTACAGTAAGTATAAACCTTTCTGACTTTCAAGCCAGATTCCCATTCAAATTTTGCAGACTGAAGATGGTAATTAGAATATGAGTTGGAGAAAAGAATGGGAACAAGGAGACAAAATCACTGGAATCTCGTGGTGCTCATCTCCCTTTACCATCAAACACCACACATTTACAAAGACCTTTTGTCCTTCTGGGTGGGGAGGAAGACAGCCTCAGCTATTCATCACCCACCCGGACCAATCAACAGAGGGGTAGAGTAACCTGCCCGGGCAGAGGACAGGGCTCGCACACAACATCCTTCCTCTCTCACCTTGTGACTTGCCTTTTCCAGATCCTTCTATTTCAGAAATGGTGGGGTCCCACATGTTGGTCTCTACTGGGTTTCTAGCACAGCCAGCCAGCTTTGAATGGGGAAAGACACAAGAGGGACTCGCAAGTATGTCAGCCTTTTCCTCTAAGTGAACCTTCATTTTTTCCCTTCCCGTCTGCGTTATCCTGCTACGGTACTTTAAACTTCTCCCGTCATTAAGCCTTCTGAGTGAAATATTGAACTGATTAATGTGGCATTTTCCACTAAACTGTTTCAGGAAATGTTGCACCTTACCAGTGGGATGCTTTTGAATAATGTAATCTCCTTAGGATAATTAAAACTAAGTTCTGAAGTTAGTACCTTTTCTCCCTGGAGGCACTCATCAAAATGTCAAGTGTTCCTTCTGGTAGAACTGCAATCCCATAATACAAACAAATATATTACCCACTGCTCCTCACTAGCAAGAGGCCCTTGCTGCATTTTTTTGTCACTTCGTTTCTAACCTGAGCCAGCAGCATAAGAAATACGGTCACTGGAAGCCGCTGTGACCCCAGTACTCAGAGCAGTACTC